CCAGCTGCTTCATATCGTGTCAGGCAACTCCCTATTTCCCAAGGCACCCCATGACATTTCTGGACAGCTCAGAATGTCACTTCTTTTCCTTCCAGTGAGAAGATCTGTTCTGTGGCCCAGGACTGTTCCAGTCCAGGAATCTGTCTCTAACAAGGGGCACCATGTTAGACATGGCCTAGACATGGCCTAGACATGTGCTGTCTGTGATGGGAGGGTACAGTCATCCTCTTCCCTGATCCAGGTTTAGTGGTTCGGGATCTCTTCCAAAACCCTGGAAACCGTAAGCTGAATGCAAACTCAACATAATACAAGGCAGATGTTAGTTGTGGCTACCAAAAAAGCAGCTGTAATCTTGAGTAGCATCGGAAGACAGAAGATGGTCAGAATGGGAGATGTGATAGCCTCACTATACTCTGCCCTGGTCTGACCACATCTGGATAAAAATCAATTCTGTTCAATTCTGGGGGCCATATTGTAGGAAGGATACTAACAAACGGGAGTCTGGCTAGAGGAGGGCAATCTGGGAGCTCCTCTGAGAGGTGAGACTGCCATCTTATCTTGACTAGAACCACACATTCACATCTTCCTGTCACTTCTCCAGCCATCTCCAGACCATCTCATGGTGTGTATCACCCCCTCACCCAGCTTTGGAGCTCTTCTTTGGGGACTGTCTTCCCCCATTAGAATATAAACTCCTTAAGGGTAGGGACTGTCTTGCTTATCCATATTACTATTCCTAGCACTTAGCACAGTGCCTGGCACATAGTAAGTGTTTAGTAAATTATTTATCTATCTCTCCATTCATCTATCCATCTGATCCATCCATCCATCCATCCATCCATCTGATGCGTCTGTCTGTTCATCCATCCCTCCATCCATCTATCTGATCCATCCACCTATTTCTCTCTCTCTCTCTCTCTCAATCAATTTAAGAAATTTGGGATTCTGATGTACAGAGAAGACAGCATTGGGGTGGGAGCCAGAGAATCTGAATTCAAATCTGAATTCTATCACTTATCATAGTACAATATAGTGAGGACCTTAGAAGTTATCCAGTCCAACCATTCATTTTTACAGGTGAAGAAATTGATTGGCCCAGGGCCACATAGCTATTGAGTGTCTGAGGCAGGATTTAAATCCAAGCCTTTCTGCTTACAAGTCCAGGGCCCTATGCTGCTATAAACTACATAAGTGATTTGGGACAATTTATTTAACCTCTCAGTTTCCTCATCTGTAGAATCAGAGTTGGACTAAATGGCTTTTAAGGCCTCTTCCAGCTTTAATTCTGTGATCCTTTTTTTTTTTTAAACTGGAGAAAAATAAACTTGGGTGAAGACAGAGGCGAATCATTACATAGAAATAGTTAAAAGGTTTTCATGTGCAAGTGGGATTATAGTTAATTTTGTGTGGCTTCAGAGGGAAGAATTAGGAGAGAAGGTTAAGGTCACAGGAAGGTCAAGTCTGGCTCAATACAAGGGTGAACTTCCTAACTGTTGGAATTATCCAAAGACAGAACAGACTTTCTCAAGGTATAGTGAGTCACTTATCCATATACATATTTAAAAAGGAACTGAGTGAACACTGGACTGGAGCCAATGCAGAAGGAATTCATATAAAGGTTGGCAGGTTGGACTAGATCATCTCTGAGACAGTGTGATTAATATGCACGTATAACAGTACAGTGGGAAAATAATTAATTAAGAATTTACCAAGCATCTGGGCAGCTAGGTGGCACAGCAGATAGAGCATGGAGCCTGGAATCAGGAAGACCTGAGTTCAAATATGGCCTCAGATACTTCCTAGCTGTGTGACCCTGGGCAAGTCACTTCACCCTGTTTGCCTCAGTTTCCTCATCTGTCAAATGAGCTGGAAAAAGAAATGGCGAACGTCTCCAATATTGTTGTCAAGAAAACCCCAAATGGGGTCACAAAGAGCAAGAAACAACTGAAAAAAAATGACTAAACAACAAGAAATAGGCAGAATATTATGCTGGGATCCAGGGAGATACAAAGTTAGGCAATATCTGCCCTCAGGGAGCTTTTGGTCCAGTAGATGTACAATCAATCAGTCAAGAAGATTTATTAAATGCTTGCAATGTGCTGGGTACCATGCCAAGATCCAGGAGTAAAAAGAAAGGCAAAAATAGTCTCTGCCCTTAAAGAACTCACATTCTAAAGAAGGACATAACATTACAAATAATTGGGTGGAACCAAAATATACTCAGAGTACAGTGCAGATTTAAGCATATTTTTCCACTTTCTTTGTTTCTTGCTTTTTATTTATTTTTCTGACACATAGCTAATATGGAAATGTTTTGCACAATTTTATGTTTTTAATTGGTATCATATTGTTTGCCCTCTCAGTGGGTTGGGGGAGGGACAGCAAGGAGGAAGAGAATTTTTAATTAAAAATTTCAAAAAAATGAATGTTAAAAATAAATTATTTTTTAAAAGGATATACTCAGAAAAGATGAAAGGTAGCTATAGGAGGGAAGGAGCTAGCAGGTGGGGGGGGGCACGCCTGGGAAAAGCCCCCAGTATAGAATGTGATTTGAGCTATGTGAAGTCAAAGAAAGCAGGAGGCGTAGGTGAGGGAGAGCATTCCAGGAAACGAGAAGAACCTGGACAAAGGTATGGACATGAGTAATGGAGCGATGTGAACAAGGAAGAGCCAGCAGGGCAGTGTAGTTGGGTCACAGAGTGGGAGAAGACTGGAATGGCTGAAAGGGGCCTGCTTATCCAGATATTTCAATGTCAAACAAGAGCTTTTATCTCATCCTGAAGTACTAGAACAGGTAGCCGCTAGAACTCAGTGAGCAGGGGTGATAACACCTTCAGACCCAAGTTTTGCAGCACTTTGGCAGCTAAATGGAAGATGCATTGAAGAAAGGGAGACTTGAGGCAGGGGGACCAGGGTACAAACACAAACTGCTATAATTCACAAAAACAAATACAAAGGTAGGGGTGAGGACACAGAAGTTCTAATCGCACCTTTGCTACCATGGTGACCTCAGTCCTGGCTCAAACCCTCTCCACCTCAGTTTCTTCAGCTGTAACTAAGGATAATAAACAACTACTTTCCTGATTAACCTTCTGGATTATCTAGAGGACCAAATGAGGCAATACATGTGAAAGCAGATTTTGGAAAGCATAAAGTGTAAGAAAAGGCTGAGCAAGGTCTCCATCTTTTGAATTGTCATTGTACTCGGTGATTCTGAGAATGAATAATGAGCTCAACGCTATGGGTCATGAGCCTTCCCTACCCCTTTCACAATACCCACACGGGACTCACGGACAGCATATCTATAGACTTGGCCTCTTTCTGTAAAGGGCATGTGTGTGGGAAGGGAGTGGGGATTGGCAATGTCAGGTGCTTATCTTGGAATGTGAGGGGAGCTCGAGAAAGAGGAGATTCCCATGGGGGCTCTGGGGCAGAGGTTTGTGGTTGGATTGGGATCAAATGGGAGAGAGATAATGGAGAGGGAGGCAAAGCCAAGAGGAGGGAGAAAAGTGAAGCGGTGTCAGGCCACTGCAGTAGGAAAGTATGCTAGGAGAGAACGAAGCCAAGTGCTTGTATCTGTATTCCCGGCACTTAGCACAATGCCTCGTACATAAAAAGTACTTAATAAATTCTTTACATCTATCTATCATCTATCCATTTTATCACCTATCTATCCATTTTCCATTTATCTGTCTATCCATCTACTTATCAACTTTTTTATTCATCTACTTATCCATGTTTCTATCCGTCTTTCCAGCTATCACCTATCTATTCATTTTTTCATCTTATCTATCCCTTCTATCTATCCATCCATTTCTCCATCTCTCCATCTGTCTACCTACCTACCTGTCTTCTCTCTGTCTCTCTCTCTGTGTCTCTCTGTCTCTGTCTCTGTCTCTCTCTCTCTCCATACCCAGTCTCACTATTTACTGGCTGTGTGACCCTGGATAAGGCACCTGTAATGAAGGTTACTAATTCAGAGTATCCATGATGATACCAATATGATCACACACTCCCTACTCCCTTTATGCCTTCATGACTTTCAAAAGTAGCTGTACCTAAAAAGAAATGTATCTCTCTCCAGCCAATTTTGTGATGAGACTCTCCAAATTTAGCCAGGCTGGTTTTCAAATGACATCTATATTTAGGCTATGACCTGAGTTCAAATGTAGCCTCATCCACCTATTAGTTGTGTGAGGCTGGACAAGTCACTTAACTCTGTTTGTCTCTGTTTCCCCATCTATAAAATAGGGATAACAGTACCTACCTCCTAGGATTGCTGCGGGGATCAATTGAGATCAATACTTGTAAAGCACTAGCACAGTGCCTGGCACATACTAAGTGCTATATAAATGTTAACTATTATTATTATTATTACTGCTGCTATTGTTATATCTATCTTATCAAGGAGAAAAATGAGCACTGAGAGATCAAGTGATGTGCAAAATTTGTAGAATTCACAAGTAGGAGAGGTAGGACCAGGACTATCACCCTGATCTCATGTCCCGACCTAGTTCATCTTTTCACAACAGCCCCTTCACTATCTCCTCTCAACCATATCATTGCATACTTTATATTGTCTGCAGCTGTTCTATGTCTCCTGGAACATAAGCTTCTTAAAGGCAGGGACTGTGCCCTATATGACTTTTCCAGGGGTTGGCTGGTAAACTTTTAGCAACTGACTCTTTGAAAAAGAAATTTGCCCAGGACAGACTTTTAAGTTTAATATAAACTATTAACACTTTCTTTCTTAAGTCTTAGTCAATCAACAAAACAATACACCAGTCCCTAATCTGTAGCCTGCCAATTGCTGAAGTGTAAATGCTCACATTGAAAATTTAACAATCAGTCAGAAGGACCACCACATCCCTGGCCTTCTCTCCCACATCCCCTCCCACACTGTACAACCAGCACCACTGGGCACACAATCAGCACACAGCTAACAGTCACTGGTGGACCCTGTAGGTTCAGGCACCCAAGTTCTGCCCCCAACTACTTACCATCCACCATCTATAGGTGTCATTCTCCAAGAAAGCATTCTGGGCATTCAGCAATGGCTGCATCGTCTGATTAAATCTCTCATCGAACCAGGGTGCAAACCCAGTCTCTGAGATGCACTGGGAGCAACTACAGGGTCTTTCGGGCTGCTTCAAGAATCTTTTGAAATGCTCTGAGAAATGCATCACCATCTGCTTGGGGAACCAGGTGTAGGCAGTTGTGGTGTGAGCATAGTTCAGGAAGAAGGATGTGAGAAAAATCAGAAGAAGGACAAAGGTAAACACTTTCAGGCCTTTCTTCCTGATCATTGCCATCTTTTTCCCCTGGGGGGAGTCTTAGTAGGCAGGAATAAATTAAGAGGTTCCCAGGGACTGAAAAATTGGGACAAGGCCTTATCTGGTCAGAGGAAGAGAGAGGCTATCCCTACTGCAGGTGTAAGGCCAACCCCAAATTCATCTCTTTGAGAAGAAGTCTTCCATTGTCTCCTGAAATTTCTGTAATCTTCTGGAAACAGAAACTGTATCATGTGGGGAGTCTCTGTTCTATTTATCTTATCGTTTAGTGTTTAAAATAAAATAATCCTGGTTCTGTTTCTTCAGTCCTCCTAAACAGCGACCGATTTCTCTCTTTGAGGCTTTAATCAAAACAAATAACAGTAATTTCCTTTCCCTGTTCAAACAGATTGAGAGGCAATTAATATCTGTGTCAGAGTCTGGCTAGCCTTCAGGCGGAGAATATCAATGAAGGAACCCGCTGCAAGATGAAAGATTCTTTCCCTCACACCTCCGAGAAAAGTTTGTCCTCCCTGGGATTGAATCCTGAATGCCAATCAAAGGAGCAGGCGAAAGGGCCAGGACGCTTGGATCACAGAGACCTGGCTGTCATCTGCACGAAAGAAGAAAACAGAATGAAACTCTGTTGAGTACTTGAAAAAAAATCACCCATTTGCTTTCACATCCCTAGCTTTCCTCTCTCTGTTTCTCTTCCTCTCTCCTCCTCCCCAACTTCTGATTAAAAAAAAAAAAACAGTTTAAAACTGCTAGGTAGAGGCTTCCAAGCAAAAGCAGGGTCAACAACGGCCCCAAGCTTCAGGGTCTCTATAAAGGGAGGACCATGTTGTTATCTACATTTTTTTATAAATAATGAAACTGAGATGCAGAGGAAGAAAATGATTTGCAGATTAGATCATAGACACAGGGCTGGAAAGGCCCTGGTAGGCATAAATCCGGAACTGGAAGGGACCTCCAAGACCATCTAGCCCAACCCACTCATTTGCAGATGAGGAAACTAAAGTAGAATAAAACTAAAAGAAGTGTCTAAAGTCACATAGTAAGTGGCAAGGCTGGGAATCAAATGCCACTTGTGGGCCTCAGTTCCCTCATTTGTGAAAGGTTGTGCTAGAACAGCATCTGAGGTTCCTTCAGTTCCAGATCTATGATTTTTTGTCCCCCAATGCCATGGTTTTTACATCAAACTACACTGCCTACAGCTAAATATAGAGTCATCTGGCTAAGTGCATATGAAGCCAGGATTAGAACTTAGGTTCCTATGCTTCAGGGCCAATGCTCTTTCCCCTGCTCCTCCCCCTTCCAAATAATGGCAAAAGGGGCAGTTGCCCAAGTTGTCCGAATTGTTACCAAGTAATTAACTGTTTTTATTAGAGAAGACACTCTTGGATGGGGTTGCTCCAAACCCCCAACTGATCTTAATAGTGATAACAGCTCATTTTTATATAGGACTTTAAGGTACATCTTATTTAATCGTCATAAGAACTCTGTGAGGTAGAGGCTTATTATCAGTCCCATTTTACATGTGAGGAAACAGCAGCTAGGTGGCAGAGGACAAAGAGCTCTATTACAGTTGGAATCAGTTAGACCTAAATTGGAATCCTGATTCCGATACTTATTAGCTGTGTGATCCTGGGCAAGTTACTTAACACTGACCAGTCTTGAGTTTCCTCATCTGTAAAATGGGGATAATAATGGCACTTAACTACCAGGGCTGTTGAGAAGATTTGATGAGATAACATATTAAAGTGCTTTGCAAACCTTATAGTGCCCTGTTATGATCACCATACTCATCATTATTGATAATGAAGATAATGATACTAATAAAAATAATTTTAAAAATTACTTGTCCAGGGTCACACAGTTAATTATCAGAGATAGGATTCAAACCCAGGTAATACTGAATCTACATCTTGTGCTCTTTCAAGAAGGTTAGGCTTCATTCAACTCAGATTAGTTTTTCACCTTCAGTTTTGTGACTCTTACACCAAAGACACTAAGGACATCACAAGTAGTTTTTATACCCAGTCATGCTTTAATACAAAGGGTTCTCCTTACAGCAATCCTGAGGAGTACATTATTATTATTCCATTTTAGAGGTAAGGCCAGAGGCAGTACTAGAACTCAGATCTTCTAGCACTGAACACATGGATCTTTCCAGGACACCCAAACTGACCCCATGTTTAAAGACACCCTGGCCTCTTCATAAGATGGTGGCCACAATGGCGGTCTTTTAGATAAAGAGCCCTTCTCCCTGACCCATAAAGGCTCTCATTCCCCTCTCTCCTTGATCTAAATGATGGTGAGTGGGAAAGAAGTTAGGACAGCATACAGAGACTCTGGGAAGGGAGTTCCACACTTGTTTGGGCAGAATGTACCCCCATTTCAGGAACAATTTAAAGTTGGTTCCTTCCCCAACCTGACATGGACCAATTATGATTCACTGTCTGCTAGACAAACTCTCCACCTTTTACTAAACAGCATCCAAAAGCAGTATACTACAAGGCATAGTGACTCCTTGATTAATCAGAACATAATTAAAATTTGAGGTTGTTGTCATTTCTTTGTATTTTTTTTGGAAGACAGAGGCACAGCTCAAGGAAATAAGAGGTTATCAAAAAAGAAATGCCCAGAGAAGGAACAATCCAACCAAAGGACCCATTCACATACATCTTCTTCATTCACATCTCTAGGCCCAGAAAAGGAGAACTAATACTCACACTTGTGGCCCCATTAAGGTCCTCACTTATCCACCAGCTGTGACCTCTCCCCTCAGAAGCTCCCATAGAATGTATTTTGATCTTCTCTTGTAGCATTTAATCATAGAATCATAGGTTTGGGGCAAGAAGGGACTTGCTATCCTTATCAAAGCGGGAGAAAGGGACTGAAAAGAGAAGCAGCTTCACGAACAAAGGCTAAAGCCATTGCTTCTCAGCTAACCCTTGCAAATGTCCGTTAATTCCGCTTCCGTTCGCCCCTCTCCATCCCAAGTCATTCTGGTTAATCTCAGCAGGACTTGGATTCAACCCCAGTGCTGGTGATTTGAGACCTCGAAGTCCCGTCATCCTCTACATCTGGTGCTGCAAACCTTCCTCCTTGCAATGGAGAGTGGGAGGAGGGGAGAGGAGAAAATGTTCAAAGTGCTGGGACAGCTGGGGCCTCACCCCACCGGAAGCAACTCGCATGTGGCAGGGCCTGGTCCCGGCAGCATCGCACTGGTTTTCCTAAAATGTTGACTTTAAGGCGCTGCTCTGGTCCTCTGCTTTTATGCTGAGAAGGGTCCTGTCCCATCGTGCTCTCCTGCTCCTCCCCGTCTCTACTTGCCTGACTCAGATCTGGAGACACGTAGACCACTTCCTCAACTGAGAGCTTCCGTATCAGCCTCCGGCATCTCAGTGACAACAGAACTCAAACCCTCTGTCACCTGCTATCTAATGTTTGTCAGGATGTGGTTTTTCCCCTTCCTTCTGAACTCATGACACTTGATACCGTTCTGCAAACTCTTACTCAAGTTTTCATTATACCTATTTGTGCACCTGTGTAATTCCCTTAACACCACCTATAAGTTCCTTGAGGGCCTCTGTTTCTCACTCTAACACCTAGACTAATAATAATATCACATTTATACGGCATTTTAACATTTTAAAGTATTTCTATCCCACCCTCCAAACCCATTTTATAGATCGGGAAGGCAAGGCTCAGGGAGGCGATGGGATTTGTCCGTGGTCACAAAGCTGTTTAGTGTAGGATCAGGGTTTCTTCTCTCTCCAGGTCCAGCTATACCACATTGCCTCACAATTAAGTACACCCTTAATAAGTGTTTGTTAAGTAAATGTTCAGGCCATCTTAAAATGAGAGAGTAAGGGTTGGAAATGAATCAGCATACAATAGTCTCCATAAATGATAAGTGGGAATGTTTACCCTTCGTGGATAGCATGGGACTGAACTAAATGATCTCTACAGCCTCTTCCAGCCTGAACCTTCTATGAAATGAAAAGACTGGCAACAGAATATGTCATAGCCACAGGAAGGGGGGAGGGGTGGGAGTGCATAGGATATCCTCTGGAAGGTCATGCTCTGGTCCTTTAGGCGGACAAACGGGAACAGTCGATGACAGTCTGGATGTAATCCCTTCATTTCCAATCCTGTGCATTTTGGTCAATAAGTCAATGATCCGCCTGAGTGCTTGACCCACTTAGCCCTGCCCAAATGTTTGGTTCTGGGCTGGTTTTAATCAGTTCTTACACAAGATCTAGAAGCAGCCACAGAAGTATTTGGGAGGTGAGGGAAGTGTGGGAATGACTGCTAAAGCATAGCCCCCACAAATAAAATAAGAATGATCTTTTTTGGGGGGCACACTTTTAAATTCTGACTACTCCCCACTGGTGAGGCCCCCTGACACTTGTTGCTGGCCTAAAGAACGTTCAGTCAAGATTACAGATGATGAAAAATGAGGATAAGAAGGGGAGGTGAAAGATGGGAAAAGGGAAGGATAAGGAAGGACAGGGAAGGGGGGTGGGGGGAGGAACAACACTCCAAAGCAGTAATTTATAGTAATTGAGCCTGAGCACCAAAGTGAATGCATGCGAGCAGAGACATTCTTGCTTAGGGTTTCTAAAAGATCTGGCCCTGAGACTTCAGAAATCCATGGAAATTTCTTTTTTATATCAACACAAGAGGAAGCTGCCCAAAGTGTTGCTGAATCTGAAGAGCAGGGGGATGGAGATGGGGATGTGTGCTCTCAGGAATGTGACACGTCCTAGAGAGGCGTGTGATTGTGAAAACAAGGCTGCTTTCCTTCTCCGTCCCCCACCCCCACTTCTCCCCACGCCCAGCAAAGACAGGGGCCAGTCTGGTGTCTAGGCCTAGTTCTGTAAAGGGTTCACTTTGTGAGACATCGGGCAAGTCACTTCTCTTACCTATAATATGAGGAAGCAGGTCCTTTCAGCTCAAACAATCGGTGAACTCTATGAAAGTCTAGATGTCATTAAAGAAGAGGAGGAGAATAAACCTCAATTTCCCTTTTGATCTAGAGAAATGGAATATTCCTAGACACTGAGCAAGGAAGAAACTGAGAATCTCCTTCCAAGTCTTTCCCTTCCTCCAGAAACAGGAGGACTCTTTGCAACATTTCTCAGATTTTCTCAGATTATCTCAGCAAACTCTAAGCTTCTCAGGGAGCTAGCTCAGGGTAGGGGCTCTTTGGGGGTTGGTCTTTGTATTACTAACACTAGTAGAGTGCTTGATATATAGTAATAATAATTAACGCTTGTTTAAGAGAGATATAAAATTTAGATAGGACCTTTCTGTGTCCTCATGGAGCTTATAGTATATTAGAGGGATAAAACACGCAGACAATTATAATACAAAATAATACATGAGGGGAAAAGCAGTGGTAGGTGAGGTTTTGGGTGTGGTAGGAAGGGAAGGGGAGTGTTATTTAACTACCAGAATATCAGGAAAGACTTCATGAAGGAAGTAACATTTGAATTGAGCTTTTAAAAGGGTAGATAAGAATTCAATAAATGGAGATGACGCATGAGGGAAGGGAGAAAAGGCTGATTCCAGGCAGAGGGAGCAATATGGACCAAAGCATGGAGATGGGAAACTACAGAACTCATATGGGAGATGACCAACTGTCCAGTTTGGCTGGAGAACAGAGTGGGTAGATGTGAAGGGTATGAGATAAAGGTGGAAAGGCAGAGTGGCAACAGGTTCTGGAGGGCCTTGGATATCAGGCAAAGAAATTTGAACTTTACTTGGTAAGTAATGGAGAGTCACTGAAGGAATTTGAAAATAATATATTTATGTATAAAGAAAATAAACTTTGAGTGTAGAATGATTAAAGGGGTGACAAGAGTAGAAGTGGAAAGATAATGATTGTGGTTATTATTAATATCACTATCATTACAAAATATGAGGGTATTACTGCCCCAGACAAGAGTAATCTCTTTCTTGCCTCTGAAAGTCTATACGTATCTCTTACATTGCACTGAAAATACACTGCCTGATATTGCTATTAACTAATCTTGTATTTTATTGTCATTTTTCATTTTTAAAAATTTATGGGCCCTTTCTCCCCTTGTCCCCCAATTAGATTTTAAATCTCCTGAATCCCAGAGATTAGCTTTAGAAGTGACAATGATACTGTTATGGAAAATGACATTATTGAGGACATATATGACTAGAAACAGAGTTTGAGGGGGAAGTGAAATAGCGTAAATAAGAGATAATACATAGATAGCCAGAGTGGCATATTGGTGCCCAAACCAGGACCGAACTACTATAAAAGTTTTATAGGAAAACATTTACAAGCATCACACACAGGATGAGAAGATGGTGAAGGGGTTACATTCTGCACCGGTGAGTGCAGCATTTACACTCTCTCCCTTAGAGTATCTAAATTCCAAAACACTATGACAACTGAAACATATGTATAGGGTCCTTTTCACTCTTCCAAGACACTTTTACACCTATCATCTCATTTGAACCTCAAAACCACATTAGGATATAGGCAAGACAGGAATTAAGGCCCCTATTTTACAGATCAGGAAACAGAACTTTGGAAGGCCCAAATTCACATGGTAAATTAATAGAAGATCCAGGACTCTAACCAAATTTTCCCAATTTAAGTTCCGTGTGCTTTCTGTGATAGCACAATGCCTCTCTTTATAGCTTTTTGCTGCCTCAGTGCTTCTGCACAGGGTTCTACATGAAGAACTCAACAAATGTTTGGTGGTGCTGGTGGTAATGGTGGTACACAATGTGGTGCAATGGAAAGACCACTGGATTTGGACGCAGAGGACTTGAGTTTGAATTCTGGCTTTGCCACTTAATGACTTTTGTGAATTTGGGCAAGTATCTATCCTTTTCTGGGCCTCACTTTTCTCATCTATAAAACATGGGGGTTGAACTAGATGGTTTTTAAGGGCTCTACCAACTCTAAATCCTATAATCCTCTAAAGAAAACCAGAGGAAGAGGTTGATAGGTTTTGCCCTCCTTCCCCTCCTTCCTCTATTAATGGCGGGTGATCTGTTCCATCTGCTTTCACTTAGGGCCTTTGTGCTCTGCATACTCTCCATTCTGTTCACTTGCAATAGAACACACAAACCTATTTTCCAGCTAACCCATTTTTAAGAACATGATGAATATTTCTGGTCATTTAGCTTTTATTAGTGTTCCTGATGAGAAGAAACCCTAAGGGATGTTTGCCACACTCTTTGGTATTCTAAGGGAATGACCAACCAAGTGTTACCTTAATGTATATAGGCACCTTGAATTGGCAGGTCAGGTGATGATACAGCCCAAAAAAAATCTGTGATTCAGAGCCCCACCCCCAAATGGTGGCTGGCCCATGGGACCAAAGAACAGCACGTGGCAGGGGCACTGCCTCCAATTTAATTCACTGAGTCAACCAGACCTGCTGTCAGATCTCAAAGATCTGAAGAAAATGGCAGGCTTGTTTCTATTTCAATTACTGCAAATACATTTGCTTCTCTGGATGCTCAATTACCCAAAGTAATTCTGAGATACTCATTTGATTCAGTTAATAAAATGAGTATAAATCAATCTTCTACATACATGCAAATTTCTGTTGAATCAGGACTCTGTGCCTTCCAAGAATGTTCTTCACACACACACACACACACACACACTCACAAACACAAATGTACGTACTCACAACATATATACAGGAACATACCCACAGAAACACAACTACAAAAATATATACAGAAACCCACTGAAAAACACATAAAGGAACAAACACAGATTCAGATAGACATAAATATATATATATATATATATATATAGTTAATGATGATGATGATAATATAGTTAGCATTTTAAGATTTGAAGAGTTCTTTTTTTTCTTTTTTGGTAAGGCGATTGTGGTTAAGTGACTTGCTCAAGGTCACACAGCTAGTACTTGTCAAGTGTTTGGTCTGAGGGCAGATTTGAACTCAGGTCCTCCTGACTT